CGCCCCTTCCCCTTCCCCCCCCACCCCCCCCCCCCCCACCTCTCTTTCACTATATTTCACTCTCTTTCGTTATTACAACTTTTTAACATCCTCTCTTACCTTTCACTCGCACCTCCACCCTTCGACCCACCGGACCTCGTACCCGGCCCCTCCTCCTTCCTCACCATCCACCCCCACGATCCCTCTCTTTCGCCGTATTTCACTCTCTTTCGTTATATAATATTTTTTAATTATTTTTTTATATATTTGTGATATATTTGTACTCTAAAAAGTAAATGATATCCGAACAAAATCATATCATAAAAATGAAAAGTTCAAGGTATGTTCAAAAAAGGATACTAAAAAATTTAAACCTTATTATCTAATAATAATATATTACCATGTAAGAAGTAACTTATTATATGTTACTAATTAAAGGTGCCAGTACAAAGTGAACATTCATAAAGTGTATGCAACTTTCGGCTAATTTTCGAACCGAATCAGAAACTTTAGAACTATTGCGGGTGCAAGGAGTACTCTTATTAAAATTTCCGATTTTTAAAGTTAAGATGCAGACTTTTATTTTAAAGTTTGTTTAAAAATATTTACTATTGTTTTTAACGATCAGGAATTGCAGTACTCTTTGGGTACTGTAAGATTCCGTCATAAAAATCGACTTTTTCAAATCTTGCGTTGCCACGCGAAGTTAATACCGCATATTTTTGTTTTTTAAAAATTTTGGTCTAAATCAACAGTACTATTAATGAAACCTATCAGGTACTGTAGAACTGTTGCAGGTGCAAACAGTACTGTTACCAAAATTTCCGATATTGGGGTTGAGTTGCTAACTTCACAAAATATTCGTAACATTTTTATTTGAATGCGGAAGGCTATAAATATGACTATACCAATTACCACAAGCATTGAGATACAATGGTTATCATATATCGAGCAACAAAATTACATGTTGAGTTGATCAAAGAAAATTAAAGTTGAATAAATGGCGACATAAGGAATATGTAGCTCTGTTAAAGTTTAAGAGAAAAGTGAAAGAATGTTTATTGAATATTTTCATACAAATGTAATAATGTTACGTAATATATTTCAGATCGATAAGGTTCGTGTAAGATACGAAATTGCAAAGTGAAAAGGTTGACCGATTGTTGTTTGGCAATCATTCGATTAAAAATCAAAACATTACTTTAAAAGTGAAGCGTGACTGAAAAGAATTCATGAGATTGATCGTTTAAATTTTTTTCCCGACAGTAGAGATGTGAAAACCGAAAATATATTTAAATATTACATCAATATAAGAACTCTTGAAATTAAAGACCAATAAAGCTAAAAGTATCCAAAATAAATGATAGTTATGTGCTATTAATAAGACACATGTAGAATTAAACAATAAATGATAAATTCTATTAGAAGTTAAATGAAATTATTGTATAAAAAGGAAAATATGAAGTTCTAAATTAAATGTAAACTACAAACGGTTTCGGTTTCCTCTTTGGATTATGTTCAGTATGTGTATAATCTAAATTCTTTACACATTTTTTTCAAGTATATGGCTCAGTCTTTCCCTAATCGGATCTCGGATCAGTGTGTCGTTTAAAATGATTACAACCATTTAATGTAATTCAGATTTCAATTTATTTTTTCTTTGTAATTTTCATAATTTTACTATAATTTAACAATATATATAATAAACATTACGTTTGAAAAAATTATGTTAGACATAGATATATGTCATGAAATTGATAATTTATGATGCAATGTATAACGATTAATATCAGTTTTCAATGTTATTAGTAATTATATGTAAATTATAAATTGCACAAACAAAGAACAACTTTCGAAAATGTCAAATAAATAAAAAACAAAAAGGGCTGAGAGTTTTTTCGTGGTAATTAATTCAAAACAAATTTCAAATTTTTTAAATAATTTTTTAACGACCGTATATTGTCAAACGAGAAAAGAATTACCGTCTATAACGGTCAAAGCTGGATCAAAGTGCTTATCAAGAGCCACGGTAGTGTCTCGCGCCAAGTGAACGCGAAGCGCGAGACCGCACGTGTATCTTTACGCGAGTCGATGAGTTCCGTGTACCCGAGATTATCGGATCTCACAATAAATGGCTGAATTTATCAACTTTTATATATCCGTAATTTAGTTTTAGTGTTTAAATTATATTATAAATATGTTTTTATTGTCTACGTACCCTACGAAGGAAGATATCTCGATGTGAAGTTGAAATGTCAAAAATTTTAACATCGAAAATGTTGTCCGTTTCATGTTTTAAACACAGACGGCGTTTTGTCGAAAAAATGTTATCCGTTTCACGTTTTAAACGGCAGACGGCGCTTGCTAGCATATTTTATTTTATATCGATTAGCTGTCAACGTAATGACATTAGATAGATAAAAATCAACGATGGCAAAGGAGGATTTTTGTATCCTGTTATAAAGCAGTCAATGTCTTGAAAGTTCACGGAAAAAGTGTTGGAGACTATGCTTTGAACTGTACTGTCGCCTCTCAAGTAATGCCGAAGAGGATAACGGACGCGAAAATCATGCTAAAGCTACAGGTGTGCAATTTCTAATTTCGCTAATCAACATAGAAAGAGAGGAGAGTTTTGATGCTAGTTTTATATAAATTTTCATGGAATTATAATTAGTACCTAAGATACAGTTCGATCGTTAAAGGCATTTTATTGGTTGTGTTTCTCACGGTCTTATAAGATTTAATATTTAAATATTGTTT